CCCCCTCCTCCTCCCCCTCCTCCTCCTCCTGAGCCCCAGCGCCTCCCCCGTCGAGCAGCCGAGCTGGGCGCAATACCACGCGACCGGCGCGCCGCGCAGCCGCCCGCGCCGGCCGTCCGCGCCAGCAGCGCTCGGGCGAGCGCCGCCGCGGCCGCGGCGCCTCCGCGGCGGGCGGGCGCGGCGCCGCGCGGCATCGCCCAGGGCTGCCGCGGAGCGCCGCCGCCCTGCGGCACCGCAGGGCGGCGGGCGGCGCCGCGCGGGGGGCGCGGAGGAGGAGGAGGAGGAGGAGGAGGAGGAGGAGGAGGAGGAGGAGGAGGAGGCGGCGCCCACTCCGCCCGGCCTGCGGGGGCTCAAGAGCCCCGTGGGGAGGGTGGGGTGCGAGGAGGAAAAGGTATCCATGCCTCTACCCTGTCCTCGTGCTACCCTTTTTGGGCCTCCTCGGAGGCCCTCGTCGCCACCGCTGGATTCGCCTCGCAATTCTGGTCGGAACGCACCCCGGGAGAGGTCTGGGGAGTAGCGGTATTGGTACCTTTTGGTTTCCACAAGAGGGGGCCGAAAGGTGCCTGGGCCAATACGGCTGCGGGGATGTGGCGGGAGGAGGAGGGGAGGCGTCAGGAAGTGTCAGCAGACGCCCTAAGGGTGCGTGGGTCAGAGCACGCGAACGAGCCTCAGCATGTAGGCCGAAGTATTTTGAGCCTCGTTCGCGCCCGACCCGAGTACCTCGCGAAGTCTTCCCACGTCATGGCGCTACTCTTCGGCATCTGGTTGATATTGAAAGCGTGGCCCCAGGGCCACTGGCACCGCCTCGAGGATGGAGGCGCGTCCTCTATCGCCGCCAGCCAATGCCATGATGCTGAGGGGCGCAGCCCCGTGCTTTCAGGGCATTCCGAGGTGCCCATGTCGACGGCTGGCTGCCCATCGCCGTCGTCAGTGACCTCATCCGAGTGTCTCGAGCTCATCGTTCGCTTCGTCTTCGTCTTATTATGAGGATTAGTAGTGGTATTCTTATGATTAGTATTATTATGATTCTTCATATGTCTTCGTCTTCTTCTTCTTCTTCCCGCCCTCGGCGTTGCCCTCCTTGACGCCCACAAGGCGTCTGGGGCTGCATGTGGGGGTGCACGCCTCGCCCAGCCTGGACCTGTGGCCCGGGGTCGGGGATTTGGCCGTACATTACCAGCCTGGAACATATTATCCCTATCCCTATGCTGGGCACCTCCTCATCACGATGCCAATCTTAGGGATTCCCTTATTCTTTGAGGGCGGATCCCTCAGATTGTCATCGCCTTTTGGCGTGTCAATCTTAGGGATAGGGATACGTTCGAGGCTGGTAAGTAAAAGGATTGGACGGGGACGAGGAGGAGTTGCTGTTCGGTTCTGGCAGCATCTGGGGCAACACGTGTACGCCTTCTGTTTTGCACCTGTCGACCCGTGCCACCGAGGAGCTCGTGGCGAAATACAGCCGCTGCACGATTGCCGCTTCCAATTTGCACTACGCCGAAGGTTCCAAGGAGTTCACCTTCGACTTGACCTCCAAATCCTCGACTACTGTTCCCGCTGCTGCAGCTGACAACCGTTGTACGTTTCCTTGCATCGCGTCTTGTCAGGCATGCACCAGTAGGAGCCCAGTTCTCGACCTTCATGAGAGGAGGCAACATCAACCCCCAACAGAGGTCACACTATGCGGCATGACATCAAGGCACTTGTGACTTGTCCTCTTTCGAGCGTTGCAGTTACAAGTACCACTAACTTGCGAGTACTCTATAGCGTGGTTGTCAATGATGCATGGTTAAACATGTGTCCTGTCTGAGCGTATGATTATGTGGGTGTGTGCGAGTCTGAGTGCGAGGTACAGCGGGACTGGATGACAAAGTACGGATGATTCTGAAAGTGAATGCGCGAGTCTGAGCGGGTAGAAACGACAACGGGTTACGCGCGGCCTGAGTATGAGTCGACCCGACGGATTCGAATTACGTGGAGGCAACATGCAGTGGGTGAGGGCATGAACGGGTCTGCGTGTAAGTGGTTCTGGGTGTGAGTGGGTCTGTGCACGACTGATTCCGAGCGTCAAGTGCCACATCACATCGCGGTTGAGTGCGAACGCACCTGTATGCGAGTGGGTCTGGGTGTGAGCCAATCGAAAGGCCCTCGAATGTGAATACGAGTTCTGCGGACTACCGGACGGTCTGAGCACGAGTGGGTCAAACTATGAATGAGTGAAAGTATGAGCGAAACTGAGCGTTCGCGATTCTGGCTGTGAGCGCCCGGGTACAAATCGACCCGAGTGAGAGCGAGGCTGCGTATGAGGAAGTCTGAACATGAACGACCGAGTATGACTGAGCGTGAACGGGGGAGAGTCTGCGTACGAGTGACTTGGTATGGGTGCGTCTGAATACGAGTGAGTCTGAGTGGGAGCGCGCCTGGCAATGAGTGGGCCTGGCCCGAATATGAGTGAATCTACGTGTGAGTAAGTCTGAGTATGAGTGTCTGTGTCTGGGTG